GTCCCTTTGCGCCTCCACCACGAACGGTGGCTCTCACAGCTGTGGGTAGCAGATGCTCTGAGGTTACAGGCGCAGGCCTTTAGGGACATCACCACTCGGCCCTCCAGGGGCTGCATACGTAACACACTCTCCAAAGAAAACTTACTGAAGGCTTGATGGGAGTAAGATATTTTGTCGTCAGGCCAGTACATTCTGTTATGAAATACAGTATGTGTTGCATTATACCTTTATTTTGAAGTGACATTATTATATTTTTTTTAAGACCTTTTTTCCCTCTTATTTGTATTTACATACAATTGTAAAGTGAATTGCATAGTTTCCTGTATACCTATTTCAACACACGATAGCAATATAGACAGTTTTGTGAGATAAATGCCTCAAAATTAATTTGTGTTAGATGTGAGAAGATTGGGCAATATATTAACATAAAATGTGTGTTTTGCTGTAAAACATAATTCCGTAATTCATATTTTCCTCTAAATGACAATTAGATGTAGCCAGTATCTCTCTCAGATTTCAGTCATAGTGAGTCTTAGATTTCTCCAGACCAAATAAGCCTGACCAGACATGTTTGAAAAAAATGTGTTCAGCCAAAAGGCCAGGGCTGTCAGCTGTGAGCTTGCTCACAATAGGATAATCTGTGCCGACTGTAGATAACTGAGTGCCCTTTCTCAGTCCCAGGCCAGATCTCACACAGGTTAAAATCTGCATTAATATCAAATTAGTGTGCACTGATTTACTACATTATTGTGCATTGTTTTACCCGCGATTCACATTTCCTCTTCCTCTGTTAGTTTCCACAAACATTCCCCAACCATGGTTGAAGGTAAATAGAAATGAGCTCTGTTGAGTTTATCCATTACTGGAAAGAACAGCAAGAAAAGGGAAAAGCAGGCATAAAATGAAAAGTAAAATAAAAAAAATAAAAAAAAACACAGAGGCCCGAGTATGGGTGAGTAAATGCAAGAAGAAATCATCTGTTAAAATTAATTAGCCAAGCTTCTCTGAACACAAAATGACAAGACATTAAATATGTATTATTTATGAAATGTCTGTGCTCTCTGAAAAGAGTGTCTAGTGCTGTTAATTACTCAGCCATTCATTCAGAAAAGATTATTTCAAATGGAAAGTGAAAGCAAGGCTAGACAGCAAAAGAGCTGTTAGTTTCTTTCACGCTATTTTTAAATGACATTGGTGAAAATGGAAAAGCTAATTATGGCAGCTCTAAAATTCAAAGCTAATTTGAGAAGCAGCATGTCAGGTTTATTGACGTCTTCTGTAGAGTGATGTGGTTTGATGGCCACCAAGGAATCTCAGTGGCGCCACGAGGGAAAAGGAGGAGTGACTGCATGAAAAATTATTCCTTGCAGAAATGAAAATAACTTTTGGTAATAGATATTCATATTCCCCAATTCCCAGTATTCTCTAACGGTTGACTGTAGAAACAGTATATTCATGTATATTCAAATAGACTTATAAGTGAAAATATTTTGTTGATTTTAGAATTCAGAATCAAGGCCTTTTCTAGCTGATGTGTTTGTAAACATTACTGATTTTAGCAAACCATTCCTAGTGTCAAAAAATATTATAAATACAGGATTTGTTGTTGTCCCTGTATTGAAAGACCTGTTGATCAATTTGAGGGTAATAGCAGGTTCCAGCAGTTTTTAACTGTGCCGTTTCGTGCCTCTGTGTTAGTTAATATTTTTAGTTTCTCTGGGATTAGAAATAAGGATAATCACAAACTTGGTGCAGAACTCTGGCAAACTTAAGGAAATATTTTCTCATATTCTGAAGTCCCAACAGGCCCAGGAGCATGACGCTATATTTTATCATCAGCGTGATTAGTTTTATTTTCCAACTAGTGAGAAAAAGAGCAGCAGTACTTTCAAGGTTTGTGATTCCTCCTTAAAGGCAGTCACCTGGCAAAGTGGGAACGAGAGCAGGGCATTTATCCACTTAAAGAGAGCCACCCCGATGATGTCAGTAACAGATGACTGCAAGACACTCCCCTCTCTGTCGCCTCGCAGCCAGCTTTGGTCACTGAGGGCAGAAGGGAAAGAGGGTGGGGGTAGGGGAGATAATTACCAGTATAAATGAAGCCCTGCGAACGATTCGCACTGCTGGGTCCCCTGATCTAGTCTCCAAGGCAACCTCAGCACGCTCATTTGTTTTGTAGATGAGTAATTACATCCAATTAGTGGCCAGTGGAAAAAAAAGGAGTCCAAGAAAGGCCCATTGTTCTGGATAGATTGTGTGAATATTAATAGTGGGAAGGTCTGTGGCACAGCGATATGATCGGTGATACTAATGCAGCTGTGGGCGCACACTGCCCAGTCTCATCCTGCATAACAGATCAGATAGCCACTGATGAAAATATATGGCTTTGAGAATGTGTGCCTGTATGTTTGTGCTTGAGTGTCTGAGTCTTACTCCTGTACAGCTGCCTCTATCCGGCAAACAAAGCCAGTTTCTTACCTGAGCCAGCCACACCTGCAGGCAATGCAGCGGAATGCGGCGTCTGAAAACGTCTAGCTAAATGTTATGTACAATCTCACTGAAAACTCTCGCCCGATAGGTGGTAGTTGATAGATTTAAAGGGTAAATTACATAAGATTTGTCTTTATTGTTTTGGGGAATTGGTTATTGGTTTAAATGACACTTGATAAGATTTTTACTTTTTGTACTTCTGGGCAGACGCTGTATGGATTTCTGCAACATTGGTTGTCTGCATTTTTTGTCGGTAGTTGTATTCCATAATTCCCAATATTGCTGATGTCAAAAGATCCATTACAAAGTGTAGTTAGCTTGTTTTAATATTAGGGGAGTAAAGTGTTGTGGCTAAAACTATAATATGAAATGGAGCTTTGCTGCAGAACAATTGCCCTGCATATTCCATCCAGTCTTCTTGCTCTCTGTTCATAATAGAATTGCACGTAAAGTAATACTGCCCTTCTCTCTTTTTGTAAACATTGTTAATGACATGTAGTATTGTTTGAATAAACTTTATTGGAATTGTCAATGGACAAGCGATTAGGGTTGCATGTCTGTGTAAAAGTTGCAGATTCTGGCTGAGTAGAAAGGCAAATTTTAAAACGTGAGTATACATAATTTGCAAGATTAAAGTAAACCTGGTGTCTGCCCAGCTCAATGTGGTCCAGTTACTTACAATTAGAACTTTATCTCAAATGGAAACAACTTAATAACTAAAACCCATTTCAATAATCCTCTGCTTACAATATTTAGATTTAATACCCATATTTTATTGTGTGTAGTTTAATGCTTGGTCTAAATGATGATAATAATAATAATAATAATAATCATAATATTTCACCAATCTGCATCATGCAAATACGAATAACTCCTTTCATGAGTAAAAATGTCGCTTATATTCAGTTTGCTATATGCATGTAATGTAATCACTTCAAAGATGCTGCAACTTCACTTTTACCAGGATGACGTTTAATCTTTTCTCACAACATGGTTCATGGTCAATTGTATGTTATATGAAAGCGATTTTTGCAAATGTGTTCACAATCACTAATGAAGTATAATGAAAGTTAAAGTAAAATGGAAAGTAATGCCTGTTTGGAGCCAGTCTGTACACTGCTCTGAACTGGTGACATATTAGAATGGCTTCTTTATGAATTCCCAATAACATGGTTTGTGCTATTGTCAAATGTTTTCCACCCATTATAATTATTCCATTGATCCAGTTTTCCTCATTAGCAAGGCCAATCAATTTTCAGTGACATTTGTCTAAGTGAAGTAAATGGAATGATTGGTTCTTGAGCTTTGTTCAATGTGTCAGGCATTATGTGACGTACGTGGGAAGCCTGCCGTATTTGGAGCCTATAATTTGATGAGTGGGCAGACAGCCCACAAGTGGTGAGATCAGAGTGCTAAAAAGCATTGGCGGGGAGAAACATGGCTGGTGCTTACATTCCATTTGGCAGAAGTGGACTGTCTCACTCTGAATGGGTAGAGGTGAAGTGGCTTTGAATGGCTATTCGCTCCAGGACCCAAATAAAAAAACACAAACACACAGCAGGGGAAACCCAGCATGAAAAAGCCGGTGTCACCAATCTTAGTCCCTCCTGAGTAGATTAACTCTGTTATCAAAGAGGTGTGAGAAGAAGCAGTTTCTTTTAATTGCACTCTTTATATGAGCAGCTTGTCTCAGATTAAGAGGACAGGCAATAAATGTCAGCACGACTTATTGCTGAAAGACATTTTGTTGATAATCCACCATCTGTGTCAAAGAGAGAATCATTGGAAGAGGCCAATCTGAGACGTGCTTAGAGTACTTAGTGCACTTCAGAATGCCTATCATCAATAAACACGAATGTCTCTGTATTTCATTCACATAAAAACCTTATCATCTGTTGCTATTGGTCAAAAAAAGAGGCTTTAAATGAATTATTGATTGGTGCGCTTTCTGTTTCTTTTCATTTAAATGACAAAAGCTTCCTTCAGGTATGTTGGCGAAGAGTTGTCGGTTTGAAATGAGAAATGTATTGACCTGTGTTTTAATGATTCTTCAGTTTTATCTCACTCCTTAATGATTGCAAGAAAACATGGAGGACACAGGTCAATATCAAAGCTGTGGCCTTAATGTATGTTTTCTATTTCTTGTTACTGGTCCATTTGAATCAAGTCAAGGCATTAGATTAATTGAGGAGGTCTTAATTGTGTTCTTTCAGGGAGAGATAGTATGTATCCATAATTGTACAGCTAATGTATAAGATACAGCTTAGTGTATCAAACACGGACCATATGCCAAAGGGGCCTGGCCACATGGCAGGAGCTGCTGGGGAGGGAGGGCAGGGAGGGCCAATTAAAGCAGACAAAACACAAGGATGTAACTGAAAAAAATGGTGTAACACAACACCAGGCTATGCTCAACAATCTGGACATTGACTTTGACAATGAAAAAGTTGATTTCCACAATGATGGAGTCCCCTCCCCTCCCCCTCCCCACCCTATACTGTATCTCCCAGGCCTCCCCGATTATGGGTTTTACTCTGCGCCCAGTGACCAGAGGGGGGGGCCCTGCTCCTTTGCTGACTATGGCTCCCTGGGGCCCCAAGCGGCTCAGATGCTGCACAGTGAGCATGCCACCTCCGCCTGCAACTCCCCCCTCCAGCACCTACACAGCCCGGATCAATTTAAGAACCCAGGTTTGTATATGCGCATCTATCTCATCCACGTTTTGGAGTTTTCAGTTTGATTCATGACATTATTCCATGCAGATGATCTAATCTTTTTATTTATCTTTATTCTTTTTATTTTTACATTTTCTCTTGATTTTGTTAAGGAAAGAAACTCCCCCTTCAAAAAAAAAAAACAATTAAAAAAAAACATCTTGCTGGAAAAATAGCATTGCATGTCCTTCCTCCTTTTTTTCAATTTTTTAATGTAGATTTTCTGTTTCTTTGTGAAGTTATGTTCCAGCCCCTGCTTGCACATAAGGGGCCAACACACACAGAATGTAATCCTTCATTTGCATGTGAACAAAATAACTACTGATGATGTCGGAGAGTACACCGGCCTCTCTAACACAGCTCAAGTTTATGTGAATTTTGAAGAGCAAAGGAACGAGTTAAGTGTGGGAGTGAGTGTAATTTTTTACTCGAACCCTTTAAGTATTTTAAGTGTAAGAATGATTGCTCATGTTATTAGCGTGTGAAAGTCTAACTGCGAAATCAGTAGAAATGCTGTGCGATGTTAGACACTTAAAAGACAACATTTTTGCATAATACAGCCATTACTTCACGGTACAAGCACATTTTCATCTGGTGTGCTTTTTCTGATGTTCTCTTATCTACCTTATGTAATCATAGCTTTCAAAAGCCAGGGATGAGATTCCACTGACAAGTAAAATATACTGCACATTGGCATTTCAATACCTGCATGCAATGTATAAAAATTATTGTTGAATTCATACAGTTTCTTTGAGAGCAGACAGTAGTCTTCAGGATTAACAACCTTTTTTTTTTAATCCTGCAGTATTTATATGTTTATCTAATTCTGATATTTATAGGCTCATGATCATGTTTGCACTGAAATGATCACCAATGTTTATTTCATCTAATGTAGTTAGTAAGTAAAGGAGGTATGCAATGTGGGAGATGTGCCAGTGACAATGTTGACCTACACACAGCAGTTAGGTCCCCTGCCTTTGGAGACCTAGTGCCCCTGCTGGGCTTGAATCCTGCCATAGCCTTCAATCTTGTGTCTTCACTACTGTGTTTCCACTTTAATAATAAAAGCAGCAAAAAATATTGAAAACAAAAGGGGCGGTCCTCTTTGGACAAATAAAGTCAGTGTGGGGCCAACTCTCCCTCCAATGGTTAAAGTGTGGGTCAGCTGCCCCCAGGCAGATGTTGGCATTTCCTACAGCCTGTCTGTACAAACTTTAACACAGTGGATAGCAAAGTGACACAGACAGGTTGCAAAGAAACAACTACGCAGATGTGATTTTCTGGAGTTCTCAAGGGTTTCGTGTAGGCCTGCTGTCCTAGTAATGTTTGTCGTAACACTTGTGCAAGTGTGGTAGCACTACAGACATAGATCACCAGACTCTTTACTTCCTATAGATCTGTTAAGCAGTGTGAAGTGTTTTATTTAATACACAGTTGCATATACACACACCAATGTCACTGACTTTGTTGATTTTGAGGCCTGGTTGTAGCATGTTAATTTATTGTACATTACTGTTAACATAAGAGTAGAGAGGGTTTTGTGTCACCTCAGTGTTTTAGTAGCAGCTACTGTAAGTCACTGTTTTGGACGATATGTGGTTGTTTTTTGTTTGAGTTTTGCTTGGTTGGTAAAGCACAGGTTTCAAATCCTGAGTGAGTCAACATGGCTTGATTACATCGTAACACAATTTATCTGGTTGTTGTCTGTGAAATAGACTTTATATTTGTTGCCAACCTTGAGCCTAATGATATAAAAATCACATTATAGCACATTGTAGTAAATAGAATCACAATGGTACTGTTTATTTAGATATTTCTTTAAAGTAGATGAGAGCAGAAATTAATGTTTTTCAAGAAGTATAATTGACTTCTGTGTATATTAGGTGATGATGATTACCAGCCGTAGGTCATAGATTACCCATATTTTATTCATAATGTCTTTACTGTTCAAATGCTTTGGTGAGTAGCCGTGCTCCTCACAAAGTACTCGGCCCACAAGTGAAGATGGTGGCACACAGATTCCTAGCCTGAAAGGGAGAATAGAATAGCTTCCATATGCAGTTTGATGGCAAATCTCATTGATAAATGCTGTTCTTGTGCACAGATCCTACATCTGTGTTTAGTACTAGATTCAAGGGAGTTAAAGTGAAGCAAATATAACTTGGATGACAAAGACAGATGTATAGAGTTATACATTAGACATTAATTCAGGTCTTCCCATTTTTCTTTCAAAGTACTTCACACACACTACTACTAGCGTCAAGTGATTTTCTCTACAGTCCTTTTTGTCCTTTTAGTTGGACGTATGTGTGCCACAAGTACAAGAAAGACTTAGCACAATCATTCCTTATTAAAAAATCTAAATGAATAGTAACACACTACTCTGTGTTACAGTGGACCTTATTCTGAACAACAAGCTGACCCACATTGCACTTGGGATTTTTTTCCTCCCCGAACTAAATGCAGAACCAGTGCAGACCCTACATTTAAATGAAAAAAAATTAGCTTCACAGGGAGAGGGGTTGAGCCACACTCTAATAAAAATCACCAGTCATAGGAAATGAGGATTGCCATTTCAACTGAAAAAAAAAATCTTAATTATATAATAAGCCAGCCTACTGGGGGCTGTGCAGGCAAGATAAGAGCACTAGCTGCTCACTGTTCAAAGTCCTTACACTTAAACAGCAGTGTCAACTGCACTAGATGTGTGTTTAGTGAGATGGCTTCATTTTACTAGAGTGCTATACGTGGATATCTAGACTACATTTTCAGGTGCTTCTAATGGACCTGACATGTCCGATGTAGCTTTGAGAGTGACATGTTATGATGACAACGACACAGTTTGTATACTGGCTGTGTGTCTACACATTGGATGTGTTGCACTCTGTATTTCCTTACATATGCTACTAAGACTTCTTCTCAGGCATCATAGGGCTCATGAGCTCATATACACAAGATGGAGCATTTTCTGTGGTCGGAAGATTTTTCTTTTTTAATGCAGTTGTACGTTTTTTTTTCCACAGTCTGTCTTTGAATAAGGGTGAGACAGAGGGTTACGTGAAGCTGACAGCAGAGGAGATTGCTGTTAAGAGATCACTGCATTTTTCTTTCTCCCTGACTGTTTTTTTCCTGTATTGCCAGTGTTATTGGCCTTTAGTAGGCCTCTGGATTTTCAAAAGACATTTTATTAGTCTGAGTTGCTCTTACTCACAGGGCGAAGGTGGTAAGTCATGTACAGTATTTCTTTTTTATCCCCCCTGAGTTTGGACCTGCAGATGAACTTGGGTCAAGCTTTTATATTTCCCCCTTATCCCTCCTTCTCCTGTCTCATGTACCTGTTTTGCTTTATGCCTGAAGTTACTCCAGCAGACTGAAAAGCTGAAACACACAGCCGAAAGTATCAAGAATATTTTTAGTAGGTTCTTGCCGGCATCCGCGAGTCATGAGGTCATATAGGAAAGCCTAAAGTATTTCTAATATCTGGGTGCAAACTGCTCAAGTGAAATCTATAATTCTTACTATAAGAATCCTGTGTTACTCTTCTTATTCAACAGCCAATGTTGTTTTACAAGTACTCCTTCACATTATGCATGGCAACATTTACACTGCAACCTTACTAGTTTATTAGCATGGTGGAAGTATTTCTAGAAATGTGCTTGTTTTGTGTTGTGCATGATTATACAAAGTGAATGTTACTCCTATGCATAATACACACAGCATGTAGATAATATTTAGAATATCATACTGGATTCACCCTTAATTTTGGTTGTTTCAACCTAAATCCTGCACCATTTTGTCAGTCGATGTGAAATGAAATTGAACATATAAGAACATATAAGCAGTAAGTATCTCTAACCTGTAATATGACCTATAAGCAAGTTATTTGAGACAAACCTATGAATCCAGTAATGTGTTCTTTTGATTTAAATGTTTCCCCTTTGAGTCATAGCAAGTAAGAATCGCACTGATCGCTGTTGGGTTTTTCTGAGCTGCTCTGCTCCCCGCTGTGTTTGTATGCAGGCACCAACCCGTCAAGGCCCGGAGGTTTCCCCGGTGCTAACAGTCCAGGGCCTGTGGCTGACCTGTACGGCCCCAGCAGCCAGGATTCGGCTGTGGGCAACTACATCAGTGCTGCTAGCCCTCAGCCTGGCTCTGGGTTTGGTCCCAGCATCACAGTGAGTACTCAAATGCAGACTTTCTGTTGTGTCTGACCGCACCTTGAGCTCAGCTGCCTCTTCTAAAATTAGACTCTAAGCCAATGCACACTGCCTTTGATTGTGACGTTCGGTAAAACAATTCAGCACATGATTTTTCTCATAAAGAATGGAGCTTACTAATTATAAGATAGTATTCTCTTCCACTTAACCACCTCCTGCCTCTATACCCTAAAATATCCCTCCAGCAAATATCCTAAACCCAGAAGAGTACAAATCAACCATTCAGCACAGTCTAAGAGTACGGATTATTTCTTTGCAGAGAGGTCTCTGCTGTCATTGAGTTCAGAGGTCCCATAAGCATTCTGTACATCAGGGTAAACCCCGTCTTAGCTCTCAAAGTTATCTGTGTCAAATGCAAATGTTTATTCCCCTTAGCTGTTGCACAAATCACCTCACTTCAGAGTCTGTGTCACCTTCCCCGGAACAAATTTCCTTTATTTTTAGAAACCCATCTGTCCCAGAGCTTGAGTTTGCTCCGTCACTAGGACAATGCTTCCAAGCAGGTTTTGTCTCTCCCAGTGTCCTTGTCCAGGTGCAGTTGCTCAGCCAGGTGCTGTTGCACTTTTTCCTCCTGCTGATCAGTTAGCTGCCGGTTGCCATGTCAACTTGGAAGCGCAAGTCTATCAGGGCGAGTAGAGGTGACAGTAACACAGAGGTGTTTTAAGTCTGTGTTTGGATTAGGCCTGTGTGTCAGTTTAGGTGATGTGCAGCAACATTAATAATCCTGCCTCTTGCTTTTACTGTAAAAAGATGACACCAAGAAAAATGCTTGTAGGCCCTCAACCATAATGTTAGTGACAATAAAGACATAGCCTGGCAAGAGAGTAGAGCTTAATACAAAATTTGGGAATATAATTTACAAAATAGGTTCCCAACTCTTGGAGAGATCATCTTAAAGCCAATAAAAATGTGAAGAGTAACTTCAACCAGGCTGCAATAATGAAGCTACGTTATTTAGCAGTTAAACCAGTCAAATTATTTATGTAGTAGCCCAGATATTGTAGCTTATGTTTAGGACCTTGTTGTCAACAAAGGGACCAAGGGACAAAGTCCCCAAAATAAGTCTCCATCAGCTATTTGTTTACTTTCCGTGTCTGTTACTCTACCTTGGACCTCACTGAATAATTAATCTAAAATATTACCATCAGAATTGTATGGCCCCTAGCAAAGTGCATCAGGGCTGAGCTCTTAGACTCACTGGCAGGCTTGTTGGGGCATGTTTGTACTGTTTTACATGACTGAACTGAGTGACACAGTATAGGTTATGAAAATAACACCTGCTTTCTGAAAGAAGCTAATTAATGCATGGCTTAACTGAGGTGGAATAACAACAAGCCCATTAGTACTGCAAGCGAGCACTGCAAGACTACAGGGTGAAGACACTCTTTCCAAACATTATATCATTAACTTGAATTTTCTACATTAACCAGAAAGTACGAAAAAAAGATTAATCTGGTCTGTTGTGGTATTCTTGTAGTTATTTGTGGGGGGTTTTTTGGTTGAGTTTATGGCAAGTTTATCATTTGGTCATGGTACAACATTTTGTTCATCTCTCTTGTGAGAAATAGTACAGGAGATTTATCACTTAAGTACACTGAATCAGTGGGGCTAAGTGTAACGGCTTAGCAAGGATGAAGTGAATGTGAGATTGTACAGCAGTAATGTTGTCGGTATGGGGTACTGTGACTTGGTGCAAATGTGCAAAGGGCTCATGAGAGGGTAAAATAGCTCATTTTAATGTTAGTAAGTATGCATAATTGATTTATGATATCCAAACAAAAACGGAGCTTAACAAGAAAATGCATTTTATTGGCTTTTTGCTTCCTAAGCAAAGCCTCTTTTATTAATTGTTTTAGGTCCACTGGCTATCTGCCATAATCTGTTGGTCTCAGTGTAGGAAGCGAAATATTTGTTATGAAAGACCCGGCTGGCTCATTTTCAAAGCAGATTTACCAGCAGATAGTTTACAGATGGAAATGAGGCGATTTGTTTCCATTATTTTCCATTTGTTGCAACAGTTTGTAACCACTGCTGAGTTAGAGAATCTAAAAACAAGTCTTTCAGTGCCCCAATTGCTAAAAAATCTGCATAGAAATGTTTGACTTTCATATCCACCTTAAACCAGTTTTAAAGGGGCTAATTTATAAAGCAGATCAGTGACAAACGCACTGTATTTTACCCATATAATTCAGGCTAGGTTTTGTGATTCCCTCACAGAATGTCAAATTGTGGCTGTGATGCAGCTGTACTAAATAACCACTTCAGAATTACCCAGCGAATCAAACAGAGTGCAATAAAGCAGAGAGGTGATGCAGCGGCCCTGTGACTTTCTGCTCTCGGCGAGATGATCTCTCTATTCAGAACATTAAAATAGGAAATGATTCAGAACTAAAATGTGTTATAATTCATTTTTCACTGAGGATGCTGTTGAACTGGATACACGTAGGATCACCGTATGTCATAACCTCACGGATGACTTCGTCGGAGTCCCTGATTTGTCCCTTGCTCTTACGCTCCAGTGATTTTATTAATCCCTTTAGCCAATATCAAAACAGCCACTGTGAAGAAGCCGTAATGAACTTAACTGGTTTTTTTTTTTCTGCAAGACAATTAGAGTGCAATTAGTTGATTGAAGTGATAAAGACAGATAATCGCTGTTGGAAGTGCTTCTCTTTTCAGTGTTGTGTGTGAATTCAAGGATTTCTTCAGACCTGTCAGCAGCGATATTCACAGTGTCCTGATAACTGAGCTACATAATGAAAAGCATTCAAAACTCAAAAAACACACTGATCTTACTGAGGGGAGTTTATGATCCCATTCTCTGCATGCTTTCAGATGAAATCCGCTGTGTATGTCAGCATGAATATAGGGATTGTGTGTGTGTGTTGTTATTATCTACTTCACATATTTTACACTCAGGTCATTATAACCTCAGGACTATTTTCATATAGAAATTAAAGGTTGGATTATTTTTGAATGATTTAACACAGTATGGGAGCATTCACTTTATATAGTATATCTAACTCTGATCATTGATGAATGACAATATAGTCTCCTGCTCTGCTGCTGAACATGATCAAACTGAATCAAAACAATCATGCTAGCTGAAAAAAAAAAAGAAAAAAAAAAGTTGATATGATACTCACTTTTCTCTCCTTGAAATGCATACTGACAAAAGCACTAACTGTACACTTTTAGGGCCCGTTGATTGCGACAGCTTTTACAAATGGATACCATTGAGCAGGTGGCCGGTTGCCATCTCATCAGAGGTATTGCATTTTATTTACTGTGCATTTCTATCAGTCTCTCCCTAATATATGTTCATCACATTATTCATTGTTTATTCACCTCCCTCAGAATGACAGAGCTGGTAGTAAAGCGTGAGCGCAACGGCATGTTTACTCTTCTTCACGAGTTCGGCAAGGTGGTCGTCTTAACAAAAAGAGACAGCAGAGAAGACGATTTAAACGATTCCGCTCAATCATGACCAGTTTGTTTGTGTAACTTACTGTTGGAACAGTCGCACTCACACACATACTACCAGCTCTGCATTCCTTTCTCTCTTTTCTCTGATTAACATTTTGAAATGTTTCCATCCTAAAATAATCTTACAGATATTTCACAGTGTGTCACATACATTTTACTGTTTAATGTTTCTGACATGATTACTGAGTTAAGGTCTGGTTGTCCAAGGAAAGAACTGTCATCACATTTTTACTACACGCTATGTCTAAAAAAAAACCTTTTACTAACAAGTCAGTGGCCTTGAATCATTATATATTTCCCAAACAGTAACTGTCTGTGAGGAATATTTCAGTTTCATCATGTTTATTAAGTCAATTCATTTTTATTGCTAATTTCCCTCATATGTACAGTATGAAACCCATTCAAAATGTTTTTGCTTTTTGTTTGCTTCCAGCCGTTTTTTGTAGATATGATGTGTGAAGTGTGTTGAACTCATTTGTGAGCACGTGTGTTTAAATTGCTGTTTAATGGGTTATTTCCAGCTAAGCAATAATATAGACTCAACAGTAGCAGCACACGCATGAACACGATTGCTAAGTTAACAAGAGGTGTAAGAAGTGTCGACTTTTTAGGGTTTAAACATACAATTTGTTAAACAGGCTGCTTTTTACTGTAATTATGTGTACTTCTATTATGCCTGCAGCACGTTTTGACCTGCTGCACTTTATGATAATTGCTGTCACATTTGTTTCATGCTGTTAATGCCTCGTGGGCAACCAAAATATTGTATTTGGTCAAACATATTCATGTCCATTTCTGTCATTTAATGTCACTGCAAATCTTATACAGCGCAGTATTCATGGTCAGGATTTCCGCAAATGAATGGTTTCTAATGCTCTTGCTATCCTTTTTTTTCTCTATCACCCAGCAGAGTATATCTGGTGGCCCAGGAAAGACAGGACGAAGTTTCTAATTGGCTTTGTGTGCAGGTGATGCTATCCAACTTCAAGCACTACAGCGTCACCCAGGCAAAAAGAACGAAAGACGGAACCATATGAAGAAGAAAAGAAAACGTTAGTCATCTCAGAAAAATAACAACTGCTGTACTATAATCCAAACCTCCTATAACTTTACAACCTGGTTTGGTATGATGTTTCACGTCGATTTCATTCACCTATTTCCTTCCTCTGTTAGCTTTTGTTTTAATTAGTTTTTAGGAAGTCATTTTAGTTTGACCTTAATTTTGTGTCATTTTATTTTCTCTGATAGTATATTTGTGTAAATGGATTTTGTTTTTTTTGGTTTTGAGGAACGGGGGTCATAGCCAAGAATATCTGCAAGTCATGTCTTCATCTTTGTATCAGTTAGTGTAAAGGAGAAACGATTGGATGTTCCAGTCTTTCCGCAAAAAAAAAAAGAAGCTTGGTGTGGAGAGACTCAGAGAAAAAAAAATTAAATTTTAAGGAAAATTTAAAGAGGGTATCTAAGTAATAAATCTTAGTAGCTGTTTTATTTCTTGTGATGTCTCATTGTTAACCATAATTACCTATTTTTGGGCAATACAAAGAGGACTCCAATATTTTTATGGTCCTTTTTTATAAGTGTTGTTTTTGTTGTTTAGAAATATATATATATGCTATAACAAATTTCATATAACTACATTGTGAATTCAAACTTGAGAAAAAGAAATGTAGCTGTACATATTATTCCAGTCACTGCATATAACCAACTCAGTGAGAGAATAGCATATTTTTGTGATGGTGTGTCAAAAGAACATGTTATAGCGTGTGAATAGAAGAAAAAGCTGTAAACAGTTATTATTATACTTTTTTCTGCTGGAAGACGGTATAATGACCCCACAGACAAACAGAACACACTTGCTCTGTAAATACTGAAGCTGAAATAATTTTACAAAGTGTCATACCAGCAAATTTACAAACGGCGAGTTAAGTCAACACAGTTTTAAGAAATAACAAAAAAAAAAGAGCCTGATTGGTATCTTTTGTCTAACTGTCAAGATATCAGTATCATTTCAAAGAGAGAGAGAGAAAAAAGACGATTTAATCCAAAGCACACTGTACTTAGATGTGAAGATTAGAACTTGAACCAGGCATTTTACAGTGCTCTGTGCATCCTGACACTTTTATACTCTTGAGAGGAACTTGTTAGTTGTATGTTATTGTTTGTTTCATCCTGCTTGTTCCTGATTCATTTTTGGAACACAATATCTGGGCTCTGTGCTAGAGCCTTTATGTAACGCTTGTTCTCTGAATCGGTTCTTTTTTGAATGAATTAGGAAAGTAAACATTTTGATACCATACCTCAGCCTTTGTGAGTTCTATTGTGGAATCATTGGCAGGTTTAATTTATTCTAGTGGCAAAATAACTGAAAACACTGAAAGGTAATAAAGCGAGTAATCATTGCACTGTGAGTAGTAAAGTACAGGCCATTTTCCTATTTGCACATGTATATGTTGGCTTTTTAAAAACGGCCCTGTGCTTTTGGATAGTATGAAGGATTTTTGGGGTTAATGTATTCTCGACTAGACAAACACTTCAAGGTTTTGAGGTGAGTTAACAGCTTGGGAAATAGTAACTGATATGTTGCAGTGTACACTTGGATTTCTTTATATATTAGACCCATGTCTCATCTAAAGATATTTATACAGGGTCAAAAAATGACACTGAATTATTCACTATCTGTCACTGCACCAGGTTTTACACAGTATGTGTGGTAAATGATTTTACTCATGACAAACATTTAATAATGATATAATATGCTCCAGAGTGCAGTCCGGTTTTTAAAGTCACTGATGGAATGAATGGTGTGTATTCTGAAATACTTTACCTGCTGCAGGTGTATTTTGTTGTTTTCATTTGACCCACTTCTTGTCTGATTTCTTTTTATTTAAAAACAACCAGGTAAAGAAATATGCTGGATACTTCTAAAGTAAATGATACGGAGGTGTGGTAAAGTAATAATTTAAAGAGTAAAGAAAAAAAAAACCCTTGTAATGTTCAAATGTAAAAGAAAATAAGAAATACAAAACTATAAAAAAAGAAAGATGCTTCTTTGCTGATTTCAAGTTTAATCAGAGTTTTATTGATACTTTGTGGTTTATATATTAATAATTGTAATATACTATTAAAATGTACTGTGCATCCATTGCTTTCTCTCTTTCCATTCCCCATCCTCAGAGATCCTACTTCTTTTGTTGATCATTCATGTATTTCATTAGTGTGTAAAGAAATCACAGTTAACTTGTAAACAGAGTGCTGTCTTTGATACCAGTGTAGTGGTCTTTGTTGTTCTCCCTTGCTCTACCTCTCCTTTCTCTCATATTTATCCCTCTCCCTCTCGCGCTCTTTTTCTATCTCCTGTAATTACAAAGTAGATGTTATATAGGACTCATTAATATAATACTTGTAGTGAATAGTGGATTTAGGACCAGTCAAGATAGACCTTTCTCTAAATGATCATGTTATTCTGATATTTGCAGACAATTATTTTGATAGAGGTTCATTGTAATTTATTCCCTGTATGTTTTATTTTTTGGTTTTTGCCACTCTCACATGGTTTCAGCTAACCAAAGCTCTCATGGATGAACAATAGAGAAACAGTTGCTGTAAGATGGAATTGTTCACAAGGCATTATTTGGATCCCCACCCTTGAATGTTTTAAAAGGGGTGTGCCATACTACCTTAAATGCTAACGCTAGATATGCAAAACTTTTGTTTTTGATTATTTTTTAAGAGGGGACACAAGCTATAATCATGGAAAAAGATTTTATGTAAGAGATATTTCATATTTTTTTAAGAAACATACCAATGATTACCACAGTAGTCATACTATCAGTCATAGTGCTGTTATATCTTTTAACGTTTGTACTCTTCTCCCAGGTGCCAGGCACTGTTATTTTTAGATGATACTGTTTTTGATCTCTTATCTCTCTCAAAATCTTTACCAATAATTCTAATAATATTAATCTTAGATTCTGGGAACTAGTTTTTGTTTTAATCTGTTATCAGATGTTCACACGTATTGAAATTGTAGAGGCGATAATGTAGAAAAAAAAAAAAAAAAGACCACTGCAAAGGACTCCATTAAACAGAAAATCTCTGGCTCTAGAGGATGATTAGCAGGTGTTTAAAGGATGAGGTATGTGTGTCCAGGCTAGTTATTACATGGTTAAATTTGGGTCCTGATGTTTGACCAGCACCCTAAAGCTGTGATTCACTGCTAAGCTAAATTAGGGCAGAAAATATTACATTAAAACTTGAATTTAAATGCTCAAAACATCATGTCAAAGCGGGTCCACAATTCAGAACTGCTGGATTCACACAGGCAGCTGTGTTTCAAGCAAAAACAAACCATTATACCATTATAACCAAGCCAATTCAATTTAGGAGCTCAAGCTGTGTGCACACTCCAGCCACAGATTGAGTTATTGTTTTGAGTATAATTTCAATAAAACATTAGGTTTTATATCAGTTATTTCACTTATCTCATGGGGTCTTAAAATTGAATATTGTTACATTAATAAATAACATCAATGTCTGTTCATTCTTCACGTCCAGTATAGACTGTCAGGTTACATACAGTATGTGCAGTAATGGCAGCTTTCTTAGTGACGCTAATGGACAAATTATTCCAATGAATCTAGCTAGTATACAGCACATTAAAAAATTACCTCCAAAAGACAATGTCCACGTGTTTAGCAAGTCAAACAATATTATACTTCATTGTGAAATGATAAAAGTTACTGATATTGGCCCAAAATTATAGAAAATAAAAATAATTTATTCCAAAGAATAACAAGTATTAATTCTTATGTTTGACTCATTTGCACATTTTAATGTCAAAAATATCTCAACAATAGAAAAATATATATATAACAGGAGTTAATCATTTGAGTGTACCAACTTATGAGCACTAGTTCAGTTTTATTCTCACAGGATAAAATAAGTGTCCTCCAGTTCATTTGCAGCATTGTCCCTTAAATCTATCTGAATATTTCATTCAGTAAACTACAACTCAGACCACCTACAAACCGATACAAGAAGCTCATTAGTGGCTCTAGTTGATTCCAATTTTAGCTGCCATTTCATCTGAAAACCCAATAACAGTGCAACAAGTATAAAATATTGTTTTGTTTGTTTCACTGTTGGTGGCTCTTAAAGTGAAAAAATAAAACTTGAAGTGGCTGATTTTCTCTTACCCAGTATAAGAATCGACTCTTCTATTGTTTTGTGATCCTGTAGCTTGGACTTTAAGGTAGCATGGCTCTGTTGCTGTAATTTCATTTTATCTCAAACTGACAGCAGTTTACAGCTGATGAATGTTACACATCTTAGTAGACTAGCTTATCCATTTGGGGAGAGGGGAGGGGTCTTGGTTTAAGAAAAAAAAATAATCAAAAAAGAAAAAAAGTCAACCTGGAAGGTGTTGACATTTGTAGTGTACTACCGTATCCATTTAAACTTGAATCTTGAGGCAAGTGCTAGGCAATGGCCAAACATTTATCCCATCCGTTCTGGGGAAAATCCCACCCTGAAACCGCACGCACTTATGAGATTTCTGTCGTCTGGGATTCAAATCTGTTTTATGAATATGAGCAACTGTCTCCCAAAAAGCTGGGACATCAGACAAGGACTGTTTCGGCCTCCGCTCCATTTCCAATTAATTAGACTGACTTTGAAGGCTCATTGAACGTTCTTGAGCATTTATACCCAAAAGAGGCTTTTTCATAGTGGTGCTAATGGTTTTAAACCAGACAATGTGCCCTTATCTCTGAGAGATACTGGATACTGTCACAGTGACCACAAAGTTAGTCTCCCAGTCCCACAAAGTGACTCTCTACCATAACACCACCATTTATAGTGTCAGCTCTCTTGTTCCAGGGTTTAACAAAGATTGCTTCATGTTCACAAATCTAGACTGAACTCTTCAAGGTGACAGAAATAGCACAAGTTCAACTGTACTGTCGTCGTTTGAGGGTGAATTTCCCCTTCAGTCCAAACCATTGCCATCTCACCCATGCTCATTATTAAATATATACATACAGTTGCAATATATATGTGTATAGATGAATATATACTTGCAATTTTCACTCATTTGAACTGAACAATGTTAGACTGGAGACCTCAGCTGTATACAGAATACTACACACAGCTTACACCCAGGTTCATATAGTCGAACCCGTCATTATTAGCTTATGTTCACCAACACGAGAGTTCACCCCTGGCGTGTTGTCGAGTTTGGAGCAGACCGCATGGCCTAGAGGGGAGCCTGGAAGCTCTTCAGACTGCATGGACGGCAGTGTGTGAGGCTCTGCTGTGCTTCCATGTTTCTGCAGGCTGAGCACAGAGCTCTCTTCACTGCTGTCTGCCCATTCCTAACACTTGCCCCTTTTTTTTATGTTAACCGACTTTTTATGGCGAGAGACAGACAGACTTGACTGACATCTGAAAGCATCTTTCAGGTTATCATATGGCTTGCTTAAGCCCTGTTGTAAAATATACTAAAAAAAATAATAATGATAATAATAATGGATGGGGGTCTCTCACATATCAAATGTGGAAAGTCTAATTTTATATTTGTATTTTCAAATAATAATATTGACAAAAAATGTCTGTGAAAGGTTTCCATCCTCTACTGTGGTCCAGAAATTGATGTGTCTGTCTGGAAAATAAATAAAATAAACTGAATTGTTATATTACTTGTTTTCACTGTTTCATTGTATTATTATTATTTTGTAATATATTTGTTTAGATGAAAAAAAGATTTGATCTAATATAATATTATCTAAACATTTCAATATCACATGTGTAATAATGTAGTGAACCATCACATCAAAGAGACATTCACTCTCCATACTGTTTAGCATCTGCTGACATTCCATAACTGGATACTGACACACGGCCGTTGTGTGTGTACTTTCTGTTTATTACAAACAACAGGGTTTTGGTGGTTGTTGTTTTTTACATTCCACATTTTCACTCGACGACACACTCAGCATATCTGCACCGGGATCCTTCGAGGTCACTCTTAAGTCAGCAGGATTAATAGAGTCTGAGCACTAAGATGCATTTTGGGGGGAAAGCGGTGAACAAACAAGAGCTGCCGTGTAATTCTGCTGCCCCTCAGTGGTCTCTCGCAGGTCTCTCGCAGCGCTGCTTCCACCACAGTGCTTTTTATTTTTCATCAGCGGTATCACATGGAGAGCATCAATATTAGCTGAGGCTCAGCGTATAAACGGCTGAGGATGTGATGAGTGGATGAGCAAACAGGCTGCTGCATGATAAGGCCTTCTAGAGCCGTACAATAGCAGAAACACACACACATAAAGTATTAAAGGTTTACCTTTGATTTGTTTGTCACAGTGTGATTAGTTCTGGCAAATTTCATTTTCAGATTTCAGGAACAAAAATCTGAGTCATTTTCTGAGATAAACCAGAAGAATGAAATATTGAAAATATATAAAAAATAAAATCTGCTATCTGACTTAAACAATGACTTCTGTGCTTCAAAAGAAATGATAGAAGAAATAATGTAATGAATCCAAAGATCTTTTCATACATTACATACTGTGATAGATTATATTTGTTAAACATAATGTTACTGTTGCATTGAAATTCAGGGTTCAGGATTTTGAATGTGTGTGCTTGTCAGGTGAGACCAACCGGTCCGACAGCTTCATCACTCATCTAGACAAGGTGATCTATAATTCTGACTGAGATCAATACTGTTGCCCGGCTCTGTTTTTTCAGAGCCGAGGCGCCAGAAGTTTGGTTCAGACTGCAGCCATGTTTGTATTTTGGTGTTTGTGTAATGGGTACAATGATCACCCAATTAACAGTCTGGACTATTCTTTCACTTTTACAGAAGCTGCTTTGGATTTTTTTTTGCTTTCTCTGACAGACCAGTGGGATTTCATCCATAAGGTACGTGTTTACATAACATATAAACGTTTTTTTTAACTCTAAAATAAGAAAAAATATAGTTAAATCCAAATCACTATAAAGGATTCGTAACGTTATCGTAAGCACACAGAGAAAAAAAAATGAATATGTTCAAATGGTCTGATGAATGTCTGTGGCTTTGAGATTTTGTGATATTACACATTTTATTATTAAACTACAGCAGATTTGACTGGAGTCTGGTCCAGATCCCGGTCACTGTAATTAGCAGACAAATTCATCAAACAGTTGATGCTCGCTCGCGCTTCTCTGTATTTTTAACTTACACTTACCTAACTGGTTGACCTTTCCAGTCCACCTGCCTTTAATTAAGTGCTAATTAAAAGTGCCATTATGATCAGAGAGCTCGGCACTCATCGGCCCTTAAATACAAGGATTCAGGTCTTTGGTGGAACACTGCAAGACAATCAGCAGTCATTATGGGAGCTAAATGTCAGCTCACAGCAGAGAAAAGGAAGCTGTTGTTGAGTTGTCTGTGGAGCCAAAGTTTGTTTTAAAGTAAAAATGTTGTAAGTAATACCTGAGCAGCAGCACCTATATAGAAATGTAGCTCTTATATTCTCTATCATCTACAAACTGAGGGGGAATTATGACCTACAGGTCTGAACAGGACTGTTGCCTAATTAAAGTGATAGGTGAAGATCATAAACCTCTCTCAGTGCACTTAAATATATAATATTTTTTATCATCATTCAATAATTTTACAGTTATTATACTTGATATTTAGCCAAAAACACAAATACAAGGGTATCCACCAACTTTTGACAGGCAGCATACATATAAACACAAATTTTTACCAAATATTTGTGCGTCAGGCAGCATGTCACCAGCTCATTTGATGGCCTCACCTCATACCAGCGGCTCTGTGTAAATTTCCCATGGGCCAGTACTAACAGGCTGAATGTGACAGCTCCTGGCAAGCACAAACACAGCCACAGTGTGCAGAAATGCCACTGCGAGGTTGCAGCCTGGTAACAACAACGCTCCGGCCGCTGTGGAGGTGTAATGAAGAAGTGGTGGTTGAAGAGGGGCTCTGCTGCCACCTCCGTGTGCGTCTGCCTGGAAAGCAGAGGAGAGAGCTGAAGAATTACCTGGCTGCCATGCATATTCATGCAGTAATGTGGTGCTGCAGGAGACTACTCACATCCCCCATCCTCAGCCTGCGAGGACACCTCAGGGCCCCTCAGCATTTATTAACGGTAATTAAGAGCTAGTCTGAGATGCCTGCATGTTTAATTGCCAATTACAGGTAGGTTAGATATAGATGAAAATGACAGCTATTTATATAGTACATCAGCCTAAATAATCAAGCTCTGTTTATACCTTGAAAATGGGAAAGGTTGGGAAGCATCCAGGATCCTCACACAAGCCTGGCATTGTAGGAATTCAAGTGCAATAATGAGCAATGTTCAATGGATATGCACTTAATTTTATGTGCATCACTAAATTATCTCCCTGCACAGCCATGTAATGGTTGCTCCTCTTTTGAAGCGGAAAATTTTTTTGACAGAGCTGTGTAATAGAGTCAATAGTTGATGGGAAGACTGCTGTGGATGGGGAGATGAGGCACTCAGGTGGCTGTTTCCTCCCAGACTGCAGGCCTAATGTAGCCTTTGGCATGGAAATTGACGTGACATTGATGGGCACTCTCCCGCCGGCAGAGAGTCATGCGCCTGCACAGCCTTCCAATTCACTAATAATTGCTGATTAAAAACTAGTTAAGAGTCCATGAAAACTCAAATGTGCATTAACCAAATGACCTTCTGGGAATGGCGAATAGTCTGCAGCCAAGAACGCAGACAGCTTCATATGTGGAACTGGTCCCTGGATTGTTTTTTGAGAAAGTGGAGATAAGAAACAAACAGGAGGGAGCTGTGTGAGACGATTGAGTTTCTTTCAAGAGTGAATTTTATTGTGTCCTAATCTTCCCTTTCTGCTTTAGAAATGGTTCTTCAGCTCATATGTCTTTTTCATTATGTAATGTCAACACTGTGAGATAATCCGACACATGGCTGGAGTTACTTATCAAATGAAATCTCAAAAATTGCAATCAGTATCATAATCCAGTTGATAACTGCAGTTCATATTATAATCTAAAAAATCTTAAAAACAGGAAATTAACCTTTATTTTTTTGAGATTGTAGATTAAAGTAATTATCCGTAGGTGGCATTATTAATTAAAATCAGGTTTTATATGACTGGTATAAACATATTTTGTCATTATTTTTCTTTTCAAGATGAAATGGATGAGATAAATGTAATTCAATTACTTATATGTGTCATTACTCCCCTGATATAAATGATGCTGAATATGATTTAATGTTCAACAGATCAACAGATTGTCCTTTCACATGGTGACAGTTTTTGTCGTTTAGCTTTTCCTACTTAGATAATATTTAGTTTATTTTATATTTTGTCAGACACAAGTTTACAATAATGCTTATCACAGGAACAGAATAAAAAGCACTTTACGTTTAATGGCTGAATGCTGACAGGTGACTCTTATAGAAAAGAACATTTGCAGTCTTTTTTTTGAACCCATAGAAATGATGGCCTCGGTATTTAGACTTGCGAGCTGTATGTAGCATGAAAGCAGAGCAGAGGAGGCCATGAGCTAACTGACTCAGAAAATTCACATATTGTGTTCCTCTCCTCTCTCATATTATCCACCAGATGAGGCCATTACATGCTTACAAAGGCCATCAGTTTTGGCCCAGATCACAGAGGATGCAGCTGTCTGTTCATTGTTCATCATCATTGTCTTCATGGATCTGATGCTCCAGAATCAATAGCTGCCTCAGAGCAAACTAGTGAGCAACAGACTGTACTGTAGAAGCAGGTAAGAGTGTCAATTATCACCGGATGACAGTGTGAAAATACAAAAGGGGTGGGGGGTGGGAGTATTGTTGTCGATGGGATCATTATCTGTGGATTAATGATTACTTGGCTTGATGCTGCAAATCTTTGGCTTTTAAAGTCTCTAGTTTGGGAAAAAATATACCTCTATGCCCCGTGAGATTTCAGTCCATTTCCGGTCCTCCCTGTGCCGAAGCATCCCAGAACTATTATAACAGCAGTTACATTAATGAGAGATGAATGTGTATGTGTGTGGGAAGATTGTTTACTGCCAACAGGTCAAGAGGCCCTCTCGATCTAATATCAGTTAGAGTATGTATCAGTTGCACATTCTGACATGTCACATGAGAAATGTTCCCCAGTGTAAAACATCCTCACGCTGATTATTTTTCAATATAATGCAGTAACCTTGTCTAAATGACATGAAAGAAAGGCCTGCAGTAAATTAATTAAAAGACAGTTTTACTCAGTATTATTCGCGATGTAGTCTGAAGAGACGAGTTCACCAGTTTTCATACCAGATTTGTAGGAATTGTAATAAATTTCAAAACCAAGTCAGAGATTTGGCATCAAAGGGAATGTTTAGTTTGACACCTGCGATGTAAGGTTTGAGCCACATCACAGCGCAGTGTAATCCAGTTGTGATGTGGTATCATCAAAGAACGTGTCTACAAAGTATTGCTGTTACGATACAAACACAAGTGTGCTTTTTCAAGGCAGTGGAAAGTTTAGAAAACCAGTTGTGCTGCCTCGAAAGTCACTGCAAACACTGCAGAGAGCTGTAACCTGACATGCACGAGCAGGAAGAAAAGCATTTCCGTTTTTTTTTAATCAGATAAAAGGTGATTTGTGTGAGATTTCAAATAATTTGACATGATATCTG